ACACACACACACACACACACACACACATATATACACATATATACACACACACACACACACACACATATATACACACACAACACACACACACACACACACCATATACACACACAGACACACACACACACACACACACACAGCATATATACTCACTCACTCACTCACTCACACACACACACACACACACACACACACACACACACAGCATATATACTCACTCACTCACTCACACACACACACACACACCATATACACTCACTCACATGCATATTTTCCTCCAATTCTATTCTTAATAATAATTAGCCTACTATATTATTAATTACAATATAACTATTTTTATTTTATATCTGTTATTAAAAATAAGAACAGATGCAAATAAACAGTAGTTTAATCGAGAGCAGCGAGTGATTCCGTCTTTTCTTTTCATGTCTGATTAACATTGAGACAGATCTGTATTAAGACCTACTGTAATGCATGGAATCTAATATAATGTTAAACGTCAGATTTTTCCCCAACCATTAACTAAACGTTGATGTTAACGGATTATGTTTGTGTGAATCTCGCCAAGACATATTTTGCGATGATGCACTTTATTGGGAGATCGCGTAGAGGCGCATCTTCTGCACGCGCTTTGCAAATGTCACTCAGCGCGATCGTTTTGTTTTCATCAGCATTGGTCTGAAAATCATATTTCAATGTCATCGAGAATTCGACATGAATATTCACAAAGCTGGAATGCTGCACTTTGCAACAATAGACCCTCAGCTTGTGGTGGGAAGCAGCAGCAGTCGTAAATAACATGCAATTCAGTGTCCAACAGCATTCAGTCACACTTTAGTATGTTCTTTAAAGTATACTAAGTAATAAAGTATGCTAAAGTGTACATGGTTTTCACAAGGGATATTAAAACACATTACAGTTTACACACAGGCAATTCTACAAAAAATCACAGACTTCCTCTTATTTATATACTTTTGGCTAATTTGATTATGCTTCCAGCTACCAGCAAAGTTTAATGCTCTCAGCTCTGTTTGACATGTTTTAGCATATTTATATTCATTCCAGAACTGAAAATCATGTCCTAAAATCTGAAATAAAGTCCGATCCTACTAAAAACAAGCTGCATTTATCCAGCACCTGCAGAGTTTGTCATCCCATATAATTGCATTTTTGAAATCAAATAGAGTTCAGAAAGATTTCATATCTACAGATAAAACTTAAAAGTGCGCTTATGTTTCTTTAATGAAGATCTTTCCGATCCTGACATTCAATACATTAAACATTTACAAGTAAATTCAGTCTGTGAGCTTCTCCTGCCGTGCGTCAGAAAAGCTGCTTTAATTGCGCGAGTAAAGTTCAGAAAAACCAGAACATGCAAATAAGTCTATTTTTGTGGCCAGTAAAATAAAAAGAAAAAAGTAATTAAACTTTAAAGACTAGAAGTAAATGACAGTGTGTTGAGATAAGGAGGAAATATAAATGAGTCCTGAAAGTTAAAGTTAAGACCGTTTTAATAATTGTCAGCTGAATGTAATGAAGCTAATGTCATTTACATTTAGATTACATTCATGTTCGCTCAAACTCTGTGTATGTTGTGTAAATGAGAGGTAAACAGGTGGATGAGGATTTAATTAGCGTGGAATATGCCGTATCTTACTACGAAACATTTCCAGTCGAGTGGAATGACAGCAGTGAGCTGCAGACGCTTCAGTCGCCGTTCGTTGCCTCAGTGAAAGCAGGACAGAAAAACAGCTGATGCTGAGAAACATCTCAGGATAATTCACAGCATCCAGTCGAGACGCTGAGAGCAGGTCACCGCAGACTCACGCCGCTTCAGTGCAAGACAATAAGGCACTTTCCACAAATAACACACAAAATACTGGCACAAATGTCAGTTTTTTACATTTTACTTGAGCTTGCCAAATGCATTCAAGGAAACATTTAAGAAAATAGACTTTCTTTTTTGTGTGTGTGTTTTCCTCTCTAGTGTAATTAAGATTGTTATCTTAATTTACCCCCCCATTTTAGTTTACTTCAAATTATTAATATTTTTTAAAGTGCACTTTACTATTTAATAACTCTAATAAGCACCAAATGTTGTTACTTCGTGAATATTCAGTTTTGGTCATTAAAATGATATATGGGTCAAAGAAAATAGAACAATAACATAAGTTTAATGCAGCTTTAAATTGAGTTTTTCCCTGCACATTAGAATGTGTCCTGTATTTATTTTTAATTTTTTTCTGAGCAAAAAACAATGACTGTCATATGCTTTTAGCATGATTTACAGAAGATACCCACTAAAATGTCATTCAGTGTAACAATAGTTCATATAAAAAAAGAAGTAAAAAGAAGTAATGTCAGGCCAACGCTATCTCACGACCAATTCGTATGTATTTTACGAGGTGGCTAATTCGTATGACCTCACTCGTACAATTTTGTACGATTTGACTAAACCCCAGTGACGGGTAGGTTTAGGGGCGGGGTTAGGTGTAGGTCATCCGTACAAATTAATACGAATCGTGCAACTCGTAAAATACGTACGGTTTGGCAAAGAATTTGTACAAGTGAGGTTGTACGAATTAGCCACCTTGTAAAATATGTACAAATTGCTGTGAGATCGGGCTGGTCAGGCATATTTAATAACAAGCCTAAAATAGGCTTTACATAAATTAATATGTTACACTGAATGAGGATAGAATATTATTTCACCAATCTTTTGAGTTTTGTTTTTTTTTCACAAAATTGGAAACATTAAACGAACACTTTACTTGCATTTAATATGCTTTCTGTGTATATAAAATCACTCTTGTTTGTGATTAAAGCGAACACTTTACTTGCATTTAATATGCTTTCTGTGTATATAAAATCACTCTTGTTTGTGTAATTTGATGTGAAATAGGACGTCTAATCTAATAAATCTATACATTTATTGAGGGATGGTGTTAAAAAGGTTAAGAGGCACCAATGGCCTGATTTCAATAAAGATATCAGATGTTTAAAAATACCACCTTTATTTGAGGAAAGTGCCATAAAACCATTCAGATAATATCAAAAGCGTCTAAAAAAAATGTTGAGACAGGATTTATCAGATTTAGCTCATTTATAAGAACAATTTTGTTCTTAAACTCTGGCTTTGGAAGCCCACACACACACACACACACACACACACACACACACACACACACACACACACACACACACACACACAGAGAGAGAGACCGTGTGCAGGGGAATGAAGATCTGCTCTGAATATCAGACGCCTCTGTGAAGCTGATTTCTCTCAGTCTTTCTCTCTGTCTGTGTTCTGATCAGTGAGACACTAATGTTCTGTTATGATGAAGAATTGACTCTCTCTAGAGAGAGGAAGTTTCACAATGGCAATAATTAGGCTCTCAGCACTTAACTCAGACGTGTGTGTGTGTGTGTGTGTGTGTGTGTGTGTGTGTGTGTGTGTGTGTGTGTGAGACGCTCCATCACTCATGCTGCTCAGAGCGAACAGACATACTAACCAGAGACACAAAGCCCAACTCAGTGGAAGAGTGTGTGAGAGACATACCGAGAAATCACAAGACTCATGAAGACACACACACACACACACACACACACACTGCCTGTCACAGGACAGATTACACTCTGAGACACAAAACCATCAAAGAATTACAATAACTACAGAAAACATTCTCTAGTCAAAGAAAACATTTTAAAACGTATCTTAGGACTGCAAGTTAGTGTAAATATATACATAATAACTACAATTTATTATTGAATTATTTAAATTATTTAATCACACTTTTTAGTTGTTAACCCAATCAGTCATTATGCATGGGTCATTGTGAGGTAGACTTTTTATTAATTAATTATATGTCACATAATTTCAACTTTTGTCATAATTTAGACTTTCATAGTATATGATTATTTTGACTTTTTAATTATACCTTAGCATCTCATAATTATTCACTTTTGTCGTAATTTAAACTATCTCATAATTATAACTTAGCATCTCATAATTATTACCTTTTGTTATAATTTAGACTATCTCATAATTATAACTTAGCATCTCATAATTATTACCTTTTGTCGTAATTTAGACTATCTCATAATTATAACTTAGCATCTCATAATTATTACCTTTTGTCGTAATTTAGACTATCTCATAATTATAACTTAGCATCTCATAATTATTACCTTTTGTCGTAATTTAGACTATCTCATAATTGTGACTGTATCTCATATTTTTGACTTGTCAATTTAGATTTTTTTATGTATTACCTATGACTCTAGCAGAAAGTACTGAGAAAAGTTATATTGTATAAAATTAATTACTAATTGTGTGTGCATGTAGTTATTTATATATAATATATAACTGTGTGTATATACAGAAAGTACTTAGTAATATGTTTGTATGATATAGTAGTAAGTACATAGTACTACTACTGCTACCCTAATACTTTATGATTTTATTCTTAGTCATCTTGAGATGTCTTCTGCTAAATTATAGTATTTAGCTTATAAAATGTGTTAACAGGACACATTTTAATAATTACACATTACACATTTTTTATCGTGTTAATGTGTTAATTCTGACAGCCATAATTTTTATTTATGAAGCATTTTTACCTCCTCAAAGGGATGTTGTTGCCATGGAGGTTTAGCTCACTTTTG